TACAACCCCTCGTCTCTTTGTTATGATGAAATCGTCCACTTTACAAGAGAATGACTGGATTGGGTGCTCCTAGAATAGAGAAGGATCGATGCAATCGAGTTGGCTGTAGACAAGGATCCATGATTTTTATATATAATTAGTTGGAATCGGACCATAGACTTAGCAGACAACCTGCCTTCTGTGGTGAACCAGAAAAAAGCCCTTGTGCCTTGTATTTGGTGAATCTTAATGGGCCCTACTAAGCCCCCGGATACAACGCTTTGAGCTAGTGTCGGTCAATCAATTCGAGGGATTAGTCAAGTAGGGTAGAGGTAAGGTCTTCAAGGGTTCTGCTATATCCTACTACAGAACCAGTCAAGTACCTTGAAGTCCGGTTTGGAAGATCAGGAACCAAATCTGATTACTCCTCAATGGTTAGGGCTTCCCAAGTTCCATCCCTTTTACAACTAAAACATATTGCATTTCCTAGCTCGCTGAGCGCTATTCAAAATGCTTTGAAGCCTGTTATGACAACATCACCTCATACCTCCGTCAACTCTAGAACATCTTCGCCGTACGCTAGGAAACCAAGCCCTCCACGTTCAGCAACTCCTGTGTTTTCCAAGAGTGTCATTGACAATATCAAGAAGTCAAATGAGCTCTTGACTCAAGAAGTAACAAAGTTGCATGGCCAAGTACTGATTTTTATAACTTTTACAGATATCACTCTTAGCTCATCTTTCTACTCGCGTCTTCGACATAACGCGTTTATTTATTTCTTGACCAGGTTAAAAGCCTGAAGCAGAAGTGTGATGTTCAAGATGCAGAGATGCAACAACTAAGGAGAGATGCCAAAGCAGCTACTTCATTTGTTGAAGGGCAATCTTCCAAATGCAAAGTAGCCAAGGAACTCGTTAAGTCCTTCACGGAACAGGTTTAGCCCAATTAAGAATTCCATTTTGAATTCATTAGACTTTTCAAATATAAAAGATGTTCTTAGAAGTGACTCATTAGGAGTGTCATGAGCTTAAAATTGAGTCCTCAAGTGGACGTTATATGACAGATACTTTTGTGTTTTAGTTATACTTTTGGTAAAATCCTTTGTGGAACTATATTCAATTTGATTGAAATAGAAATTAAATTTTCAAAATCTAATTGTCAAATGATTTGATGAGGAAGTGATTGTTCTTCTATTATTACTTTGGTTACACTTACACCATGCCCAAATCAATATGGACGAAAATACTCTTATCTCAACTAATTCCTGTCTGGATATGATATGTAGTTAAATTTACTAAATGAATGGTGAAAAAAAATGAAATGTTCAGAAGAACATGAATGTAATCTTTTTGCCAGTAATTGTAAGAGTGTTATTGTCATAATGTATTAAATGGTATTTACTTAATAAGAGAATGCGTTAGGTACTAATTGCTAGTAATTTTTTATGCCTTCTTTGTTATGCAGTTGAAGGCAATAACAGAGAAGTTGCCTACAGAGGATTCAGAAAACGAAATCATGAAATCCTTGCATGCTCGAGCTGAAGATTTTCTAAACATGACCAATGAGACAACATCCGAAACTTCTTCTTCCTTACGAACAAGCTTAGAGCGTGAGCATCAACACACAAATCACCTTTCTCATGAAGGTGGAGACACTTCTCCACACAGTGACAGACCATCTGTTTTCAGAACTAGAGAGGATGAAACTCAACCAAGCTCAGAAGACGGCTCCAAATCCCATCGATCCTTGGCTATGAAGGCTGAAAAGGGGAAAGAAGTTATTGAACAATTCGAACCCGGCGTATATGTAACTCTCATCCAACTTCAAAATGGCACAAGGATTTTCAGGCGTGTTAAGTTCAGGTAAACTATTGGTTTCAAAAATTTCAATAACGCCATCTTTAAGTTTGCCAGTTTTATTGCTTTTGAACGCCCCAAAAGTTCTTTGCACATAAATATGATTCTAATAGTGTGTTTTGGTTGGTAAAAATCTCGAAACTTTGCACAAACACCAGTACACTTTTACGTTATTTGGAGAAGCTAGCATTTTAACTTTTGCTTTTTGCTTCAGCTTCTCCTTTTGCAACAAGTAAAAATAGAGATTCTTTCAAAAGCACAACACTCAACTGGCCATAGTAATGTCACGGTTTTGTTATTGAATTCGCCTTCAATGTTTTCGCAGTAAACGAAGGTTTAGCGAGCAGCAGGCCGAAGAATGGTGGAACAACAACAAAGACAGGCTGCTTAAGACATACAACGTTCCGCAAAAGGTGAACCCAGCTCAAACCAGATCTTCCAGCACGCCTGCCCCGCGCCTGTTCCTGCGCCTGCTGAGGAAAGCTCCCACACTGTCTCATCTTCCTAGACATAGTTTTATGACTTCTAGTCTCTTGCAATATGATTTAGAATCTTGGTGAGCTGGTTTTACAAATTGCTCTAGAATGGCAGTACTTACGAACCAACTAGATTGTAGAACTTCCTTGTTCAGAACTAGGTGTTAAAAAGAAGCTTTTAAAAGTGGGAAGAGCCATGGATATGATTTTGAAGATTTGCAGTTAGAAAGCAGAAAAGTACTTTTACATCCATTCTAATCTCAGTAATTTCTTTAATGCTATACTGTTTCATGGCGTCTGGTTGTATAGAAGAGATTAACCACTTGGGATGTTTTTATGCATGGCCATTTGTAAAGCCTGTGATATTATCAATGCGTTTTTATAATGGTCTAAAATCTCATCAAGAATTAAAGTAATTGCTTTAAAGTAAAGACGTATAAGATTTATCCTCCAGCAAAAAAGGGGGGAAAAAGTGCACATTTATCTGTGATAGGACAGCCGCACAGAAAATGAGTACCATAAACCATGTTTCTTGATGGAAAATAATTGCTTTATTTTTATTTTTTATTTTTTTTTTTTTTTGAGAACTGAGAAGTCGAGGCAACTTGAACATTTTGAAAATATCATAGAAGGGAAAAAAAAAACGTTTGAAAATTTGTCAAATTACATAAATTAAACCCATAAAAAAAAACATGTTAATATCTGATAAACCGAGCCAAGTAGAAGTAGTTGTAGTAGCGTATTAACTAGTTTTATACAATGCGCATGAAGAAAACTGTTTAAGACGATTCGATATATTAATTTTTCCTTCAAGTAACTTATTCGAAGAGCTTATCTCAAATAATAGTATTAATAATAATAATAATAATAATAAATAATAATAATAAGGCTTTTTTTTACACTTTGCTCCTAAACATATCACACATTTACAATTTATCCCTTGAATTTTTAATTTTAGCAATTTACATTCTAAACTTATAAATCTACAACAAATTACTCAATCTAGTGATGGTTATTTCGACTTAAATTGACATGTGATTATTACGTGGGGTTGTTAATTAAGAGCATGACAAGTCCTTTTTTCATGAATGTTAACCCACATATATGTTTAATACAAAGATAATCCAAAGCTTTCTCTTTTGATAAAACTTAATTAAAGATCTTAATCACAATAAATGTGGGTTAAAATACATAAAAGATGACCATTCATGTCATTAATCAACTAATCTATGTGAAAGTCACATGTTAATTTAGTTTTAAAAAAAATGAACGTCATTACTAATGGGGACTGGGGTAATTTGCTACGGATTTTATAAGTTTAACGTGTAAATTGTCAAAATTAAAAGTTTATAAGGTAAATTGCAAGTATACGATAAGTTCAGATGCAAATAAATCTAAGTTTATGAGAGCTTTCTAAAAACTGGTTTTGGCTTCCGGACTTCAAAAACTATCTCTAGAATTGTTTAGATAATAAGTATTTCGACTTTTTAGAAGAACTTTCAGTCAGAGTCAGAAAATGAGCATTTTAAATTAAAAAAAAACTTTTAAATAGATTTTAAAACTTGTACCAAGCGCATGGGTCTAAATTTTTACTCCTTACTCTTGATTATTATAATTATTTGACTAAAAAAAATATTAATCAAGAATAAGTAGTAAAAATCTAGACTCATATACTCTAAAAATTATTTATCTCTAACATTTTTGTTTCTTATCACACAACTTTAAAATTATTTTGAGCCATTAAACTCTTTCATATCAAACAAAAACCACATTTTTTACTTCTCTTCATCTACTTCTACTGCTTTTAAACGAGTCCTAATAATTAATAATAATAAACCCTTGTTGTAAGAAATATGAGCGGTTGGAAGATAAAGACGGCTAGTAGACTGTAGACGACAATGCCTTTGCCGCCTTGCATGGACGGGACGTGGCTGGGGCCTTAACATTTAACATGGAATATGACCACCCTTTTTCTTCCATCAAAAATAAAACATGATGATATATGACCAAATAATTTACTACTTTTAGGCTACCAAATAACCATCGCGGATGACCTACCCATATTAATAATTAATATTAATATGGGCTCCCTTGCTTGACTTTCTGGATTTGACTTTAACGTCCTTCCTTGCTAAGAAATCGAATTAATTGCTCATGTAGTCCCTTTCGTTTAGCACTTTTAGCACTTAAGTCCCCACATTTCTTTTTTAGCATTCAAATACGTAAATTTGATTAAACAAAGGTGACAAGCGTACAGACAAACTCTGTCCACCTTGGCGAGTAAATGACATCACGTGGAGACCTTATGAACGGTATTTGATGGTAGAGAAGCTCTAACAAGAGTGTCCCTTAGGTTCTTCACAATAGTTCACAAGTTCCTTAATGGTTAAAATTAGCATAGTTAAAAAGTTCAAGGACCAAAGAATGTTATTTGGTTCCGCTCTACTCCAATGGAGTCGAGTATCAAAATGCATGACATTGAATTTTCTTTCTTTTTTTTTTTTGTTTTTTTTTTTTTTTTTAAGGAGAAGAGAAAGGGGTAAACTGCAACACAATAGTTTTCATATATTTACCCCACGTCTCCTTGCTTAATTGCCCTTGGCTCCACTCGAACGGGTTTGTTTGAAAATCTTTTAAATATGTTAAAAGTTACTCAGTTAGGGATTAAGCTGCAAAGTTTTGTATAATATAACATTTGTACAATTTTCCGGGATTTCGAAATATTTTGCTAGTAAGTACAGGACCATTCCAGGAACGATTGTCATCAAAACGGGTCCATCCTTAGTACTTGCGTTTCACATATTAATTTTCCCGGAAAATCATGGGAAAGTGTTCCTGATTTCTCCGGGAAATTGTTCCCACAAAATTCCATTATTACTTCCCCAGTTTTCTACGATAGAAAAACTCGAGAAAAGTTATCGATTTCTCCGATTTTTTTTTTCCGATCAGAATGGGGCAACAACAGTCCAAGGACGAGCTTCTCTATCAGCAAGTCGGCTATGGCAACACCGAAGGAATCAAAGCCCTCTCTAGAGAAGGCGCAGGGCTCGAGGTAAAGAGAGAATGAAAATCGAAAGTCAAGAAATTTGATTTCCGTTATGTTCATTCGTTGAATTTGTGATAGAAAGTAGAAAATTGCGGACTTTTAATGGCGATTGTTGAATTGATAACTGAAAATGGTGGTTTTTATGGTCAGTGGATCGATAAAGATGGGAAAACCCCCCTTATAGTGGCCTCCATGAATCCGGAGCTTTACAATGTGGCGAAAACTTTGATTGAACTCGGCGCCAATGTCAATGCGTACCGTCCTGGTATGTCTAGGGTTTAAAGCTGTCTTTTTTTCTAGATTTTTTCCTAATTGGTGAAATACCAGTGATCGTAATTCTCTATTTTATGTTTTGATTGTTCTGAATTGTAATTGAGAGAGGTTTTTCTTTGAGAAGCTTAAGTTTAGAAAGTTAGGTCTAAAGAAAGGACGGAATTGATTATTATTTTTGTTTTGGGAAAATGGATGATGAGTAGGTTTTCTTTTTCCTTCAGAGAAGCTTAAAGAGGAAGAACAAAAAGTGAAGAGAAAATCTTTTGTTTCTTATCAATAAATTTAAGTTCATTTTTATGTGATTAAAAACAGAAAAAGAGTTCATTCCAAGTTTGTAAAATATTTTGTTTCTTATCAATCAATAAACTTGCATATATGCATCACAAACTGCTATGTCCATAATTTATTCTCTTTTTCACACGGAAGTTTGATTGGTTTTTTTTAGCTTTCATAAGTTTTGAAAATTCTTATGCTAACCGTGCATGAAGAAAATCGTTTTTATGTTTTTTTGCACAATTCCACATTTTCTCTTATTGGTATTGTTTTGAGAAATGCACCATTGAGTCTCATGTAGATATTACTAATCGTTTTTATGTTTTTTTGCACAATTCCATATTTTCTCTTATTGGTATTGTTTTGAGAAATGCACCATTGAGTCTCATGTAGATATTACTAATTGCTTTATCGTTCTTTCTTTTTTTTTTAGGTCGTCATGCTGGGACTGCTTTACACCATGCAGCCAAAAGAGGCCTTCAGAATACTGTAAAGTTACTTCTTTTACATGGAGGTACGTCTATGATAAGCCCAGGGAAAATTAAGAACAAAGCTTGGAGAATTTTAGTGATTAGGAAACAAGAATGAAAAGGATGGAACCTTTGATCTTCAATTGATAAGAAAACTCACCACAATCTCAAAATCAGGGGGGAACAACTCAAATGGAACTTTTGAACTGTGCATTCAAGTACGAAATTCCCATGCTATAAACTTGGAACAACCCTCCAAGAATAGGAATATCAATAATTAATGTTTTAGAACCACTCAAAACATTAATATGGACCAGAATCACCAGATTCCACGTTTTTAGACTACTTTGACTACTAAAAATAGAAAGCTAAGTGACTAAATTCAAGCAGCCATAAATACAATTAAATAAAAACTAAATGACTTCGACTAGTAAGGTTACTAATTTACCCCTTGAGCGTGTGATTGACCTAGTATAAGTTGTTTCTTCTCGTTGAGTCTCATCATTTCCCCCTTGTTGAGGAGGATTTGCCCTCAAATCCTTAAGCTCTTCATCAGCTACTCCATCTTCCAGATATGGTGACAAATCTCGGACATTAAATGTATTGTTGACCTTATACTCGTCGGGCAGGTCTAGTTTGTAGGCATTGTTATTAATCTTCTCAAGAATGCAAAAAGGACCATCAGCTCTAGGCATCAACTTTGACTTGCGCTGTTGTGGAAATCTTTCTTGACGCAAATGAATCCACACAAGGTCCCCGGGGGCAAACTGAACTCGCTTTCGCCCTTTGTTAGCCGATCTCTCATAAGCTGCGTTCTTCCATTCAATCTGCTCTTTAACATTCTTGTGCACGTCTTTCACCATTTGAGCCTTCTTTGCACTATCAGAACAAGTTCTTTCTTGAATGGTAATAGGCGCCGGATCAAGAGGAGTAATATGATTAAACCCATAAACTACCTCAAATGGGGAATGTTTTGTAGCACTATGGTCACTACGATTGTAAGCGAACTCAACATAGGCTAAGCAATCATCCCAGTTCTTCAGATTTTTATTGACAACCATTCGATGTAAGGTAGAAAGTGTTCGATTTACTACCTCAGTTTGCCCATCGGTTTGTGGATGACAAACGGTGCTAAATAGCAGCTTAGTTCCAAGCTTCTTCCAAAGAGTCTTCCAAAAATAGCTTAGGAATTTAGCATCCCTTCTTGGAACTCCAAACAATCTCCTTGAAGAATAATTCAGCGACATGGCTTGCATCATCGGTCTTATGGCAGGGAATGAAGTGTGACATCTTCGAAAAACGATCCACAACCACCATAAAAGAATCTTTTCCCTGCTGCGTTCTTGGCAAACCCAAAACAAAATCCATACTCAAATCCTCCCATGGATGACTAGAGGATGTTTAGTACCTAGATTCGTTCCCTGATTCGAATCATGGTTCGCTACAGTATTTTCTCTCACAAAAAATACACGTAAATCGAAAATAATTCTAATCACATGATTCTAATCTATGAACCAAACGTCACCTAGAAACGGGTAAGGGCATATAAAGTCCTTCCGCTAACTCCTTGCTCTTAGCCTTCTTGCAAGTGACGCATCTCTCCACAATTATGTGTACATCTCGATTCATCGCTGGCCAATAGAAGTGCTCTCTTAATGCTTCTAAGGTCTTCTTTTCTCCAAGTGCCCAGCAAGTCCTCCACCATGAGCTTCACACACCAAAAGCTCACGAACCGAACAAAAAGGAATGCATAGTCGGTCAGTCTTGAAGAGGAATCCTTCATGCCGAAAAGAACCCTCCTTTGCTCCTCATAGATCTTTGCGAAGTATGGGTTCTCCTTGTACAACTCTATAATCAAATCAAAACCCATTAACCTTGTATTAAGTATTGAGATTAGCGCATACCTTCACAAAAGTGCATCAGCTACAATGTTGACATTCCCTCTCTTAAACTTGATCACATAGGGAAATGTCTCTAAGAACTCAACCCACTTGGCATGCCTCCGACTCATGATTTGTATGAATCACAAACTCCCTAGGCAATAAATAATGTTGCCAAGTTTCCAATGCCCTAATCAGTGCATAAAACTCCTTATCATAAAACTCCTTATCATAGGTTGAGTAGTTAAGATGAGATCCGCTCAGCTTCTCGCTTAAATAGGCAATAGGACGCCCTTCTTGTTTAAGGACAGCTCCAATCCCGATCCCTGACGCATCACACTCCACTTCAAAGGTCTTCGAGAAATCGAGTAATGCTAGTATAGGAGCCGAACTTAACTTGTCCTTGACCAAATCAAAGTTACGTTGTGCTGCCTTGGTCCACTTAAACCCCTTTTCCTTCTTCACGCCCTCAGGAGCTAGATGGTGCTGAAATTCTTTACAAAGCGTCTATAAAAGGATGCCAAGCCATGAAAACTTCGGACTTCAGCAACATTAGTGGGAATCGGCTATTCCTTGATAGCTTTAACTTTCTCCTTGTCAACCTCCACTCCATTTTGAGAAACGACATAACCAAGAAAGATTACTCGATCCTTGCAAAAGGTGCACTTCTTGAGGTTGGCATATAACTTCTCTCCTCTAAGCACATTAAACACTTGTTTAAGATGCTCCATATGCTCATCAAAGCTCCTACTAAACAAGTATATCGTCAAAATATACAACAACAAAATGACCAATGAATTTCCGCAAAACATGGTTCATTAACCGCATAAATGTGCTAGGAGCATTGGACAAGCCAAAGGGCATGACTGTCCACTCATACAACTTGAACTTTGTCTTGAAGGCCGTTTTCCACTCATCACCTTCTCTCATTCGAATCTGATGATATCCACTTTTGAGGTCAATCTTCGAAAAGATAATAGATCCATGCAACTCGTCTAACATGTCATCAAGCTGTGGAATGGGATAGCAGTACTTGATGGTGATCTTATTAACAGCTCGGCTATCAACACACATGCGCATCGATCCATCCTTCTTGGGCACCAATAGAGCTGGTACTGCACACGGACTCATGGACTCCTTGACAAAGCCTTTCTCCATCAACTCCATTACTTGCTGTTGGAGTTCTTTGGCTTCTTCCGGATTGCATCTATACGATGGTCTATTAGGCAAAGTAGAGCCAGGTATAAGATCAATCTAATGCTCTATTCCTCAGAATTGTGGTAATTCCTTTGGAAGTTCTTCTAGGAAAATATTCGAAAATTCCTCCAATATCTCCTCTAATTTTGGATGGATAGTTCCATCTCCATCAGGAATTTCTTTGTCTATCAACAAATAAATAATTTCATTAGCCTTTAGAGCATGCTCTACCTCCCCCTTGTTAGCAAATAGGCTCTCCTTTCTTGCTTTGTTGATTGCTAACTGGTCTTGCACTACTTGGGAAGGACTAAGAGGTGTTAACAAAGCACGTTTACCACCTTTAGAAACGGAATAAGTATTTCCACGCCCATCATGAACAACTTCTCAGTCTGCCAAGGTCTTCCAAGAAGCACGTGGTTAGCACTCATTAGTGCTACATCACATGTTACTTCATCCTTGTATCCTCCTGTGGAAAATGGTACCTTCACCTATTCTGTGACTCTTATGTCTCCTTCATTGTTTAGCCATTGCAAACGATAAGAACTTGGATGCTTGGTAGTGGTGAGGTTTAGCTTAGCAACCAAGGTAGTAGAGGCTACGTTAGTGCAACTCCCACTATCAATGATCAAACCACACACCTTACCATTAATGTTCCAACGGGTGTGGAAGATATTCTCCCGTTGTTCCTCCTTCTTTGCTTGTACGGCCAGATTGCGTCGAATGACAAGCAATTCTCCTTCTTCGGGGTGTGCAACTTGCTCTTCCACTTTTACTTCCAGTTATGTTTCGTCTTTACTAATAATCTCTTCAGCTGTTTCACGGACAATCGAAACCTTCTTGTTAGGACATTGAGAAGCTATGTGTCCAAGCCCGAGGCTCTTGAAACACTTGATGTCACGGCTTCTTGTTGGAGGTTGGGAACTTTCAGCTTTCTTTTTTTCTCTGTTTACCACGGCTACCTTAGTAGTATCCTTCTTTTCTTCCGGCTTGGCAACTGAACCTAGGTGCTCTGATACCAAATGATAAGCCCAGGGATAATTAAGAACAAAGTTTGGAGAATTTTAGTGATTAGGAAACAAGAATGAAAAGGATGGAACCTTTGATCTTCAATTGATAAGAAAATTGACCACAATCTCAAAATCAAAGGGGGAGTTCGCCACAATTTAGATGGACTCTAAATTGATAAGAACAAGGAAAAATCTCGCCACCAAGGAATTTGGATAAGAGAAAGATAGAACAACTCAAATGGAACTTTTGAACTGTGCATTCAAGTACGAAATTCCCATGCTATAAACTTGGAACAACCCTCCAAGAATAGGAATATCAATAATTAATGTTTTAGAACCACTCAAACATTAATATGGACCAGAATCATCAGATTCCACGTTTTTAGACTACTTTGACTACTAAAAATAGTTAAACCAAGCAGAATAAAGCTAAGTGACTAAATTCAAAGTATCTGAATTCAAGCAGCCATAAATACAATTAAATAAAAACTAAATGACTTCGACTAATAAGTTTACTAATTTACCCCTTGAGCATGTGATTGGTCCGGTATAAGTTGTTGCTTCCCGTTGAGTCTCATCAGTCTATCTTGGCAATAGCTAACCCTTTTTTTTTTTCCATAATCTTTGGCATGCTTATTGATTATTTGGTTTTAAACTTTCAGCCAATGCATTAATAATGAATGATGACTGCCAAACTCCTCTTGATGTTGCTAGGGAAAAAGGGCACACTAATGTTGTCCGTACAATCGAGGTACGTTGAAGATTCTAGTTTGTAGTCTGTAATGTAATTCTTTGTGTTTAAGCACATTGTGGATTTTTTTTTTTAATCTTTTTGCACAGATTTTTTTTTTTTAAATCTTTTTGCAAAAAAACGCGTATGGTATTCCAATGCAAAATACATTTCCTGAAATGTATTTCTTTCTTATGTGTGCAGCTTCATATTTGCTTATTCTCGGGTTGGATGCGGGAGTTTCATGGTCCTGGATTTCTTGAAGCATGGGCTCCTCAATTACTTTCACGAAAAGTGTGGGTACTATGTACATATGGTTCTAACAAATGAATTATCTTTTATTTGCCACTTTTGCTTCCATGTTGCCTTCCCTACTTATGACATCTTGGTCAAGTAAGTGCCTTAGGAAAGCCTAAGTATTCATGTGTTCTATTTTTTCTGTGTAGTTGGGTTGTCATTTTACCATCTGGTTCCCGCCATCCTACCAGGCCTTTCAAGTTGCAGCTCGCCATATACTCTGGTGCACAGGTATTACATTGTATAATTTGCAGATCTTTAAATATTAAATATGTTTTTTTCCTCTTTATTTGCCACTCTAATTTGTAGTCAAATACTGTCATGGGATTTTCTGTCGGGTTGATTGCTAGTGATTTACATAGGTTTTGGACTCTGTCCAATTTATTGGTAGTATAGTTTTAAAAGCGAAATGGTTAATGTCTAGATTAATATTTGTCTGTGATTAATTATAGTGTTTGGATTTTATGGAGAAGACCTTTTCTATTCCACACTATCATAGTTTTCCCTTCAGTCTGCAAAATATATCAATCCTAATTATATATTTGAGAATACGTGAGTTCCATCAGTGTTAGATGATTTTCTGGTGCCATATTGAAAGCGATTGACACATGCTTTAAGGTGCAATCACCTTAAGACTTTTACGCAAGTTACATTTTTTTTTTTTTTTGGTTCACTTCTGTTAGTGATTATATGCACTGATAGGGACGAGCCTTCGCTATAATAAACAAAGGAAAGAAGGGGGGAAAAAGAAAAGGAAAAATGCGTTACTTGCATAATCTAGCTTTTCATTTGGTATGTCATCTACTAGCTCAGTCCGAGCCAGAGAGACTCTTTTTTGATGCTTTTATTGCTTTACTTTTCAGCTTTTTCCTGAAGACTTAGAGAAACCACGTAATCTTAAGTCCTTTTTTTCTATTGTTAGTATTAACTTCTGCATAGTGGTACAAATCCTAACAGTCTTGACTTCTATGGGATGCAGCAACTGTATTGTTGCTATGTGACAGCTTGTACGATTTTGCCACAGCGACATTATTGTTTTTCTACTCTTATGTTTTCAAACAAACAATCTCTTATTATAATAATATTACTAACTACCATGATATTGAATGCCACTATTGTAAATGGGCAGGACGCACAACCACGGACAGTTATTGCACTGTGGAAATCCAATTTGGAAGAACCAAAATCAAACCAATCTGATCCTTCAGTGACAATCTTCGAGAACTTTTCAAGTAATTGCTTGATGCTAGATAAACTCCACAATTGTTTTTTTCTTGGCGAAAAACTTAGGAGTTGATGTCAGATACATATATTTTTGGTTTGTTCTTTAATGTATTTCATGTCCATGGATAGTCTCAAGAGGCAGGAGACGGAGAAGAAGGTGTAGGCGTCGAATGCTTAGTCGTAAGTATAATAGCTGAATTTTTGTTTAGTCGACGAGAATAGTTAAAAGTAGCACATAAACATGAGAACTTGGCTCTCTTACAAATTAGTGTTGTCACTAGGACTTGTAGGCTAGCCATATTCCTCTCCAGCCTCCAATCTTAATGAACTTGCCTCTAACTACGGACAAAAAAGATACTGTTTAGGCATTAATATGTCTGTACCTTTCAGAGTTTTGTGTGGCACTAGTCTTAGGTTATTTTTTGTTTGATGCATAGTTGAACTTACTCTGCCTCCTTTCCAGAAACACGCATTAAACTTGCCCCTGAAAAGGAAAATGACCGGCAACAACTTGAGCAGTTTTGCAATGCATGCAAAGGAATTCCACAGGTAATTCAAATTTTCCTTGTAGATGTAATGTGACTATTCTCTACCATTTGTCTAGCACAACTGTTGCATGCGAAAAACTTCTGTTGCTAAGAGGGTGAAATTTTTATATTTAGAATTTGAAAAAAAAAAAAAAAAAGGACTAATAATTTGAAATTTTCATTTCGAGTAATCTGCAATTGTAAGATGGAAGGACACTCTTGGAACCTGTTTATCAGTACCTTTTTTATTCTCCTCAAACACTTGCAAACAATCGTTTGACATGTTAGATAAAGTGTCAAATACCACTGGGACTCAGGAAGCTATATTGTTTTGATGAATTGGTGATGTAGCATGGAGAAATGGCTTGGGTACTATAATTTTATGGCTTTCAAATTTGGCCTATAAACTGTAGAGGGCTGGCATTTTTTAAAGTTGAGTCTTTAGTAATGGAGAACTATTAGTGTGGCATTATCACTATTATGGTTGTAGCATATAGCGAAATTTCACATCTTGTCCGTTTTGCTATACTTAGTATTTGTGTTCTAGCTATTAATTTATAAATTAGTGCAAAAAACCAGCATATTGACATACGTTATTTTTTATTAACTTTTGGCCTTTCCAAAATTGCAATGCTATTCCTAACCTTTAACCATAACATTTTAGGCACGTCCTGCATTTTTGCATGATAGTCAGAACCCAGTCCCGTCTGCTACTGCACCACCAGATGCTGAAGATTATGAATTAGCTTTGGCAATTAGTGCCTCAATTCAATCTGCTTTGGAGGAAAATCCACCCCTTCTTGGTGCAAACCTAAGCTCTGAAGCAAGTGCGTCCAATTCTCATGATAGTGATCTGGGTGCACCAGAAGCACCTGGTCCTCCGGCAAGTGTTGAATGGACAGGGCATGGACCTTCGCCAAGTGGCAAGTTAACTGAGAATAATGACATCCAGCTCGATTCAGTGGCCCCAATGATTCAGCCCCCAGACTTGATTGCATCGGCTCCACCAATTGTGGATGGTACCTCAGAAGATGGTCCAATTCACTATCCATCAATTGATTTGGACCCTATTGATATTTCTTCCCCATCTGTTGAGAGTTCACCTGCTAAACTTGGTGATACGAAAGAAGATAAAAATTCTTCATGCTGTGTTATTTGTTTGGATGCTCCGATTGAGGGAGCTTGCATCCCCTGTGGCCACATGGCGGGATGCATGTCTTGCTTGAACGAGATAAAAGCTAAGAAATGGGGATGTCCTGTCTGTCGAGCCCAGATCAACCAGGTTGTAAGGCTGTATGCTGTGTGATGGCTAAATCAAAATACGAGGAACTCTAAATGGTGAGTAAAACTCGAAAACTTTCTATTTACATGCTTTCATAGGGTACCAGTTATAATTACTGGATCCTTGACTAAGGTTTCTGATTTATTGTTGCCCCATACCTTCTGTCGTCAGGTATCATAATTCCTCTTGAAACTTGAGGTGTCAAGATTTATATATAACTTTAATGTAAATTCTTATTCTGTAATCCAGTGGGTGATTTTAATGTAACATTGATTAATGCTAGAACTTTTTTTTTAATCTAGTAGTCTTAAACCATTTAAAGTTTCACAAAAACATGTACATACATACATAGAGGCATACATACATACACGCGTATACACGCATATACATACATACAGATAGATAGATATTTGCCTATCATTCTAGGTGAGACAACCTTTGTGTGTATGTTTGGTATATGGGTTCTGTTACAGTGCAAACCCATGTTTTGGTTCTGCTACAGTGTTTTTCTCTCACAAAAATTTTGAATTTCAAAAAGTCATAATCAAGAACCTTAGTTTGAACCCATATACCAAAGGGGCCCTGAATGTCAAAGAGGGTGATATCCTCATCTCATAATGAGACAAGATAAGGTATAAAATGAAAAAAATAATTCTTATGGATCAGTATGCAGGTGATGAAACTGGTTGGCTGGGCTTGGGGAGAGTGGCTCCTACGACTTATGATGTCTGTTTACAAGGATGTTTTCTTTGTTTATTCAGTACTGGTGTGGGTAAGGGTATAATTTGTTTTGTACAAAAAAAGAGAGAGACTGCATACTATACTAAATTAAGAAAATTCTGTGTTAGTTTTTGCAACTCTCTACTCTTGTATGATTTGATAGTTGGTACTGAAAAACAAGTTACTGTTTAATGCATATGTTGTTCTCTGTATAGATAAGCGAGTTACTGTGTTGAAACAAAAATTCATAGCAGATCCTTGTGAATAGGCTTTGTTTGAAACCCAAAAGACAAGAAGATATATATCTGTGTGTGTGTGTGTATGTGTGTGTGTATATATGTTTGTGGAACTATTTGTTGATGTGTATGTAACAGTGCTTATTTATTTCCTTTCAACAGAAATGACACGACAGTGACAATACCCTTACAATTTTCTTTTTTAATTTTATTTGTTCTGTTTCTATTTGAACACAATTTTAGGTGGGCATTTTAGAGCATCTCTTTAAAACCCGCATTTTAGAGCTTCAAGAACTGTCATTTTGTTCAATTATAGAAGCATTTGTGTTGCCAATTATCTGTCCAAGAATTCAAGTTCTACTTGCAGGCAAACAAATAATGCAAAAAGGGTAAAAACCCAACTTAAGCTAAATGCAATCTGAGCCATTGCCAATGCCATTATAGAAAAAGGACACGACAGTGGACTTGTAGGGTACTCTTGTTGGCTCGCTTTTTCACTTTGCTCGTACATTTTCACTAAGGAGTTGGTATTTTGGATGTCAGCCACTTATTATTGGCCAAATCTTCTGTTTATCTTCATTTCATCCAATTGACCCTAGCCGCCCCC